ATGTTATTCAGAAACCCACAGGATTCAACTGAAATTCAACATATCATGCACGAATGGACCTTTCCCCTTATAACCAAAATTTTGATCTAGGCAAGTCTATAGACAAATATTTCATCACAGCTTGAAAGAGCATCACAAAATTAGTAACATTCCAAAGTTTCGTTGCGAAATGTTGTAAAATGAGGAAAATAGAGCCTTGCGAAGTTTGCAATTTTCAGTCATTTTGCATTACAAACGGGAAATTGCAGCCCCAACACCCGAATCGGATGTCAATTTCCCGTTTGCAATACAAAATGACTGAAAAACGGCAAACTTCGCAAGGCTATATTATCCGCATTTTACAAGATTTTGCAACAAAACTTTGGCCCGAATATTACTAATTTTGTGATGCTCTTCCAAGCTGTGATGAAATTTTTGTCTAGATCGAAATTTTAGTTATAAGGGGAAAGGTCAGCGAAAAATAAGGTCTTCACAATGACGCAAACGCTTGCGTAATCGTTATACTTCAAGCATAATCTTTCGAAAGAAGCAAATTGTGTGTTGCTATGGTAACAATGTGGCCTAAGCGACAGCAGATAAAGATTTTGGACCGCTAAAAATTAATTTATTAAAATTTCCTTCCGTCAAAGTATCTGAAATTTTATCGTATGTAAAGGGATATCTGTGGAAGAATATATAAAACAATTAGGGGAGATATTACGCGAAATTTGCTCCACAATTAGAACTGTTTTAGAGAATTTTTTAAAGGAAAAAAAGTTATTGCATTACAAACCTTGCGCGGTCAAATGAAATTTTTAATTTGCTGACGTGTTAAAATTTCAACTCGACAAGATCACGTCATTTCGTTACCAGTCCCATGCATGCTTAAGCAACTGTAGGGAGTCACCTTAAATTGCAGTTCAAGTTTTCTATATACCGATAAATCGTTCATGAATTTACATGATGTTGAAATTGAACTGTTTCTCTGTGCTGTCCCAATATCTCACTAGTTAACTCAGGTATACCATGCACGAATTTATAATGCGAACTTCAAACTTAAGATGTCTTTTTGCACTTCACTTGGTTGAACTATAGAATTATATGTATTCTATATAGAACTATATATTTCAAAAACTCATTAATAATTCATGAGGAAAACACAAAGAGAAATCATAAGCGTGACGTGTCTTTATATGTGATAAAACACGCTTCAAATATTAAGATGAAAATGTTCTAGAGTGTGTATTATATAATTTCCATACCCAGCGCAAGCAGAAAGATGTTGTCTGCCGCGGCTGGGTCTTGAACACGCGACCTTCGAATTACTAGATCGACGCTCTACCAACTGAGCTACACGGTCAGACGGATTTTAAGACTGGAAATTATGAAATATATACTGAATGTCGTAAACATACTCGTTTATATTAATTCAGCATCGAACAATACTAGTTCTGCAAGTGTTATGTTAGTTGTGTAATTGTACACTCTGTCATAGGCGTACCGGGCGGGGGGGCGGGGGGGGCGGGGGGGCGGTAGCCCCCCCAGTTTTTTGGGCAGTCGGGCAATATTCGATAAACAGTCGGGCAATTTTGGTTTGTTATAAAAATAAATCGGACAAATTCTGTCAATTTTTTCGAAAATTTAGTCAATTTTGTGGCAAATGTAGTGTTTTTTGGTACTAGTCGGGCACAATCACGAACAGTCGGGCAATTTTACAAAAAGTCGGGCAATTTTCTTTCCGCCCCCCCCTAATTTTTTCCTTCCGGTACGCCCATGCACTCTGTAATATGTTACACAACTACACAATTACACAACTAACATAACACTTGCAGAACTAGTATTGTTCGATGCTGAATTAATATAAACGAGTATGTTTACGACATTCAGTATATATTTCATAATTTCCAAAATTTCTTAAAATCCGTCTGACCGTGTAGCTCAGTTGGTAGAGCGTCGATCTAGTAATTCGAAGGTCGCGGGTTCAAGACCCAGCCGCGGCAGACAACATCTTTCTGCTTGCGCTGGGTATGGAAATTATATAATACACACTCTAGAACATTTTCATCTTAACATACTACAGAGTGTACAATTGCACAACTAACACACACACATATATATATATATATATATATATATATATATATATATATATATATATATATATATATATATATATATATATATATATATATATATATATATATATATATATATATATATATATATATATATATATATATATATACATGTAAAAACACAATTTAAGACCGAACCAGGAACGATTGCGAAAAATGCAACACTGGCTCCACTCGCAAGGCCACAGATTCAATTCCTGCCAGAGGACCTAATGCTTGGGTCTCAAATTGTGTATACCGCTCACTTGGATTATCCACTAAACCCAGCATACAAATGTACATACAATGCACTTTGTACGTGAATTCCTGGTGGCACAGTGGACTTCAGTTAAGGTAACGAACGTACTGCGGTAGAGCCGTTGATTGGAACTAAGGGTAACGGAAGTACATCAGCCGATTCGTGCGCGGGCAGCACAGGAGAGGAATTAGAGAAAGCACACAGTTTGAATGCTTTATTGAACACAACTTTGTACTCTGCACGGAACCTAGGGCTATACATCCCATACAGCGCTGGATTGACACAACTATTAAAAAAGGTTATCATTACACACGACGTGTGTATGATATCATTTGGATGAAAATAACCAAACTTTGATAGCATGAATGTGACCCGGCCTGGAAGCCATCCGATAATCAGAGCCGAGCATGCCAATACTGCTACAACTGTGACCTTTCTGAGTTGGGAATTGCTATTTGAGGAAATCTGGGGTAGATTCTTCATTCGGAAATAGATATGAGTATACAACACAACCATAGTGGTGAAAGGAATGATTGACTGCACTGTTAAATGTATCCATGGAGCCTCTTTCGCTGCGAAAGGCAAAGGCGTCCATCTGCAGGTAATTTTATCAGGATCGTATTTTAGTCGAAAGAAAGTTGTGGCGTTCACCGCTATACCACAGATCCAGGCAAGGATCACAGCTACGACAGCGTGTTTTGGTTTCACTGAGCGATATGTGTTGGGTTTGACAACAGCTATCCAGCGTTCGATAGTCAATGATACGCAGGTAAATATGGAAATATAACCCAAAATGAAGCAGAACGCTCCTGACCAGATTGTCAGACAGAATATTGCTGCCGCAGTTTCACTGTAGCCTGGCGTCGGAGGTAAGTAGAGAAAACGACTAGAAAATACGATAATGGTCAAGCATGAGTATTACAGGATAAATATACAACATACATGAAAAAATTACAGTACGGCTCAATTCGGATTAGCAGTACAATTTTGTCGAAATAACGAGCCAAGCCCCGCTGTGTAGCCGCTATGTAGCAAATCAGTGTATAGCAGAAAAATGACCTCACCGAGCCGGAATGCAAGTTAGTAGGTTTCCGTATCACGGCCGGTATATGTTATTAAACACTGAAATGTCCGACTATGGTATACAAGTTTCCTATTCCCATTTTTGTGTTTGTCATTCCCAGTCTCAGTCAACCTCGTACTCAGGTTCTCAATCTTCGCTCCTACCTCGCTTTAATTGAGACCTGGTATCGGCTGGTCACGTGACCCGTCATATTTTGGCGGATTTGCCGCCAATTGTTTTAGGGAAAGTATAGTAAGTAGATATTGTAGTAAACATTAATATTGTTAAAATAACATTACAAAACAAAACATCTCAGTTACTATCCTTTCCCTAAAAGCAATTGAACAAATCCGCCAAAATATGACGGGTCACGTGACCAGCCGATACCAGGGTCTCAATTCAAGCGAGGTAGGAGCGAAGATTGAGAACCTGGGTACGAGGTTGAGTCTCAGTAAGTCAAATATCATTTTCCACGCTCAGACTAGCAATTACCGAGAATAACGCATCTTAATTGTCTATACCTAGCTTAATTTATGCCACTGCGACACTCCTTACCTGAAAATCAAAAATATAGCAGTCAGAAAATCGACAATCGCCAGGTTCAAAATAAAGATACTATAAGGTTTGTTGAGAAAGGTTTTTCGTCGAGAAAACAAGACATAGATCACCAGAGAATTTCCTAACAAGGCAATGACGACGATCAATGAAAAGATCAAATAATGGATCCAGGTCCTTGTAGCTTCCATCATGGTCAAAGATAAACTAAGAATAAAAAATGTTAAACACAAGTTAAACATGATAAAATGTTATGTTTTTGAAAGACATATATATATTCTCCAAGCTTATTAGGTTAAAAGGCTGATTCTATAAAATGTTCAATGAAATCTCCTTAAGAAAGCCACAAGACCCTCAAATTAAACATAATAAAATGTTACGTTTTTAAAAGGCATGACTGCGTAATTCTCCAAGCTTTAAAGAAGGTCACAAGGCTGGTTTGCCCTAACAAATGTTCCATGAAATCTCCTTAAAAGACCCACAATTAGGTTCAGCGCACACCTGGTTTTGCACTACAACGCGACAGAAATCTTACATGCATGGTTTCTCATTTTGCCTATATATAGAGATGAAAAACTAGAATAAGCAGGATTTGTATAAAATTTAATATACATACAGGACAAAGCAAGTTAATAAAATCGAAGTGAGCAAATGAAATCAAATGTAACTACAATTACAAAACCTATGAAACCTTTATGAAATTAATATTACCTTCTTTTTCCAAGATATTATAAACTGTGTTTACTTCCTTCAACGATGGGAGCTCTGAATTTATATAAGGCTCATAATAATTGTGAGTGATATTAGACATATAATGATATTGAGCTATTTGCGTAATAGGACATAGATATTCGAAATGTAATAACGAAAATAAAAATAATTGATGCTATGGACATGTTAACTTCACATGATTATGTAATAACAGGATTTATGTAATATTGGCTATGTAGTAGCACAAAGGTGTAAATATATGCTTTTATAGCTTAAACCACAAGTTCAAGTATATACTATATAGGTAATGCCACAACTGGCCTCTGTAGCTCAGTTGGTGAGCGCTGCACCGGAATCGCAGTGCCGCAAGTTCGATCCATGCCAAAGGGCCTATAGAGCGTTTGCATGCACTCATTCCCCAGGGACCAACTCAACAAAAGCCATGGCGGCCATGTTGGTGTTCCAGACAAAAGAGTCTAATTAAAATTCTTTTGAATTGGATGAACACCAACATGGCGGCTGTGACGTCATGTGCAAACGCTCTATAGTCGCATTTTTCGCAGTTGCTCCTGGTTAGGTCTAAAAATAGGCACGCTACGCGTACATGTATAAATTAAATTTAAGTTTGATTTGCACGTCTTCTGTATAAGATACTGACAAATCCGTGTCGTATTACTTCAACTCCTATTTGTTTCAGAAATAATGAATCTCGAAGCTCGCAGTTTGCACTAATACTGTACGGCACGATAATAATTGCAGTGAAATTAAAATTGCGTAGTATCAGATTTGAAATATCACACGCTGAATAAGTGCGAATAGCGCGTTAATTTGCCGATTTGTCGAAAATACTGATTCTCGAATTAAGCTTGGGATTTGCGTAGGCAGTCGAATAAAAGCCAAAATAAACAGTAGACAATGTGTATGTATGTATGTATACATATATATATATATATATATATATATATATATATATATATATATATATATATATATATATATATATATATATATATATATATATATATATATATATATATATATATACCGGGTGTCCCAAAAAAAAGTACTCCTGTTTGATTCGTAATCACTTCTAAACAAGTGAAGCTTTTAAAGAGAAATAACTTGCATCAAATAGAGAAAGGACTAACTTAGATTTTGATATATTACAGTTGAATTTCACGTAAGAATTAACTGAGATATTAATGTTTAAAATCGGGAGCATATTTCTGGATGTGTCTGAAATATGCAAAAAACGGCGTATCAAATATTAATCAAGATTTGCCCGACTAAAACATGCATTATTACCAGTAAATAAATGACACTTGACAAATTGTTTATTATGAAACAAAGTATTATTATCTACAAAATACAAGCAAGATTTATTCGTCCGAAATCCGCGTGTGCATGTTGCTAGCAAGAATACGTTTCCTTATTTCATGAGGCCACTCACTGTATCGCGAAGGATCGTCATGGTCGTTCGTAGTTCTAAATTAGGGCATGCTGTCACAATGGAATTGTGAAGCTCTTCTAACTTTTGCAACCTTTTGAAATCTTGTTAAGAACACCCAAACTCTTTTGCTTTTTCTTAATCTTGGCAAGTTCAGAATAAACTGAGAATAAAACACAATCAAACCATACAACTCCATAAGACATAACGAGCAACTCCCCAGAGACATCCAACATTTTTGGAACAAAACGTAACAAAATAGTAGCGTTGATTCTGTGATGTGTATTTGCAAAAAGCAATATTATTTCCTAATTCATTAAAGAATAATATTTATCCTGCTCTAACCGAGAAATAATCAACTTTGTTTTGAACCCATGAAAAATATAAAAAAATTAGGCTATATTTAAGAAAAATTTAACATGCATCGTCCGCTTTCATGCATGTAGGCCTACCTTTAAGTTTGTAAAGACCTATTAAATACCCGCATAATTTCGAACGTTCATATTTCAGGAAACAATGAGCTAAGACTTACATGTAAGATGTCTAAATCTACGCCATATCCCTTATAAACCTTAACGACAATTCGCTGAAATACAAGTTTATAATAGCCTGATATGTCATTAAGCAAACAAACGCTGGAATTAATATTTGATATGCCGTTTTTCGCTAATTTTAGGCACATCCCAAAATATGCTCCCGATTTTGAACATTAATATCTTCCGTGAATTTTTAAGTAAAATACAACTGTAATATATCAAAATCTAAGTTAGTCCTTCCTCTATTTAATGCAAGTTATTTCTGTTTGATAGCTTTAGTTGTTTAGAAGTTATTAAGAATCAAACCGGAGTACTTTTTTTTGGGACACCCGGTATATATATATATATATATATATATATATATATATATATATATATATATATATATATATATATATAATTGAATATTTTAATACAATTTTTCAATTGAATAAGTTGCTTTATTCTTAAAAACGGGAATTACTTTATGATTATTTGTGAAAAATAATGATTTTCCAACCTTATAAGACTGATTTCCACTGTTGCGTTTTTTCATACGTACGTATACGCACGTAAAACTTTAATTCCGTTTAAATGTTACTTATGAAATAACCAAATAAATAAAGCAACAGAATTTAGTGTTCCGCAAGTTTTAGTATGCATTTGTCATAACTTATTTGTAAAATATTTAAAAAATAGAAGGATTCAAAGTTTTACGTACGTGCGTATACGTGCGTACGAAAAACGCAACAGTGGAAACTAGCCTTTATCGATTCATTCAGCCTTTATCTATCGTAATGATAGTCAAGTAATATATTGCAATACTAATCCTTATATTTAACTCTCCCTATAAAAGGATAGGAAAAGATAGGACCTCGATTCGGACCTTGTTGAACACCATTCAACAAAAACTTAAATTGTGGACATTAAAGCACTATGCTTTTGAAAAGCGTTAAAATGTTAAAAGATAGTGTTATTTTTGGAAAAAAATTAAAAACAGTTAACAATACGTTATATATAGGAACTCGTGTTATGACATAATTATGTGAACTTAACAGATGTCTAGTGCATTGATCGTTTTGATTTTCATTTATATTGCATGAATTTCAAATATATTATGAGATATAATATTATATTACTCACAATTATTCAAAGCATTATATAAATTCAAAGCCTCTATCGTAAAAGAATTAAGTAAAAACTATTTTATATTAAAAACTATCTTGAAAAATATATAATATCTGCATTTTATAACTTTATTGTATTTTCTCTCATCAATTTTATACTTGTAGTTACATTTGATTTAATTTGTGTTGCTCACTTCGATTTAATTAACTTGTTTGGTCTTGTATATTAAATTTTATAAATCCTGCTTGTTCTACAGGGTGTATAAAAAAAGGAGACCTTTAGAAATCAACCATATATATATAGAAATTGAAATAACGTTTAAACAAAAGATTGTCTACTCCTGGGAACAATCTGCCATACATACTGTACGTAGATCGCATGTTACGCACTCGTGGGCTTAGCGAAGTGCTCCAGGATTCAAATTATAACAATGGTTGATTTCTAAAGGTCTCCTTTTTCTAATATATGCACTCCTTCAATATTTCACGCACCACGGTTCAGCATATGTGCAATTGAAAAGGCATTCAAATTTTAACAATATGCATGATTTCTAAAGGTCTCCTTTTTTTATACACCCTGTAGTTTTTTTATCTCTATATAGAGAAAATGCGAAACATGCACGGTATAGGACTTCTGGCTCGTTATATTTCCACCGGGTGAATTCCCACCTAGCGGAGAACGGATTGAAGTAATATTTCAAATCCGACTATGAGGACTGGACTAGATTTCACGTCCGTGCAATTTTATCCAGTCGGAGGTGAAGGCGAACACTGGGTTAAAATGCGAGGAAGAGTTTGGAATGCGAATTGAAGAATAAATCACTACTTAAAAGGAAGGTACTGAGGTGAATTAATTTTGATCCAGTTCAAGGATTGAATAAATTTCGATCCAGTCCTAAGACTGGATCAATATACTGATATACTTACAACAGGTATGTGGTGCCTAAATTACCAGTCAGTGGTGCCTAAATTACTTTGAATTTGTACTCGAGAGTAAAAAGTAGGAGTAATTACACTGGCCTGTAAGGCCAAGTGTCTTAAATCCCCCTTTTTCTGTTTTTTTCGTAGTCGAGAAATCGAGTTTGCGTTAGCTCATCGCAGGCTCAGGGTGCAACGATTAAGCCAAAATGCCATCGATTCCCTCGGTTCCATAATTTAGATAGCATAGTAATAAGTAATAATAGCCGACTCATGCCATGCTTGTGGTACATTTTTTGTTTATTAGCCTATACACTTGTACGCACGCGCACAATTCCGAACTGCAATGGCAGCTTTTCACAGAGTGATCAAACTATATTTTACACAGTTTCGTTGAATTTTCAAAGAATTGTGCCGGTTTCCTATGTATATTTTACGTTGTGTCGTACTCTGGACTTTCTTGCGTGTTGAATTGATGTGTTTTTCTTTGTGTAATGACTCGAAAACCACAAAATATAATATTTAGTATTCCACGAAATATAATCCACGCGAAAAGCTTTGTGGTAGCTATACTAAAGATAAAGCGTGCGTTCAAAATACCAACAAGAACTAGAACCATTATTGATCATTTGTATGCATGGTTCTCACTTGCTAGACTTGCCACAAGTCGACCTCGAAGAAACGCATTTCGTTCGAGGTCGACTTGTGGCAAGTCTACTCATTTACAATAACATTAGTTCGACGCGAATTTTAATACAAGTATGGTATCATATTTCATAATACAACAATCAATGTAAACTAGCCATACATTTTGCCGAACATAACTTCGGCCCCTTTGGACAAATCTTTTTCGTGATAATGTTATTGGAACCAGAATCGAAAACACTATTTATAGTGTTATTTTCAAGCTTGTGTCTTGAGATTTTCATCTTTCATTTCGGTATTTACAGAATATTTATATTTTTAGCGCGGCCCATGGAACGCACATGAAAACAACGCGCTGTTAGGAAAAACCGGAAATCGATTCTGTAGGTCGGCATGATTTGCACGTGCATCGATCTCCATTACGTCTCCCGAAAAGGTCTTGTCTTTTATTTTTTTAAAAAGTCCATAAAATTTGCTTGCGGTTTAAGATTTGTATTCCTGCCTTTTGCACCATAGCACGTATCTCGTTATTTTCAGGCCAGTGTGAACGCCTGAGCAGGCGTCTTGTTAACAATAAAACGACTTGAGTAAGAGTAAAAAGTACTGGAAGCAAAACGTACTTACGTAAAAAGTACAAAGTATCCTTAAAAAATACTTGAAGTACAAAGTAAAAGTCAAAGTACTATTGCCTGTAGCGTGTAGAGGAGGAGGGAAACTCCTCCAATGGATTGACATACA